ACTTAAAAAAATACATTTTTTTTTTTTGGTAGCCCATTGCCGATTCGAAAAGTTTATTTGGTAATATTTAGTTGCCTAGCAGTTTATTTGAAACAAACATAGTTATGAATACACATACACATGCATACCGTGAGCTTATTATTAATGCTTAAACTAACCATAATATCCTTTTAGTCGAGTCTGGCTACTAATTTTCATAAAATGTCAGCCCTGGGACAAGGGAAGTTCCTGTAATTATTATGAGATGGAAAATTAAATAATGCATGTTTCTATGGAAACAGCTGCTGTGACCTGATTTTGTGAATCGCTAATGTCAGGAGGTTGAATACTAAACATACTGGTACTTGCTTCTTTCTGAAACAATTAAACAATTAAACAAATTAATAATGTCTGGTATGGTTGCTATATGCAACTGAACTTGTTTTTGCATTGTGTGGTTTCTAAGTGTCTCTTTTAGTGTGGTGAATTGGAAACTTGTACTATATGGTATATTGGAACATGTACACAAAATGTTGGCATTGTATTTTGGAATACTGCGAAAAATGAGTACTGGACACAAGTCACTTGGGCACAAGTCACTTGGGCACATGACCAGTGATTTGCATATCCAATTTGTTTGCATATATTATGCATGTAGCAATACACGTCCATAACAATTCAATTTGTGATTAGATCTTAATAACATTTCTCCTAATTGCCTCGGGGACTGCGTCATTAACAATTACTTATTTATAGTGACTTGGGACCCATAGCACATATGCAAAGTCAGTGAATAGAACCCCAAGTTGGGATGGGCAAAGTCACAAAAAATTACAATTCTCATTAAATTCATTGGTTGCGAAAGACGCTCCTCAAAAAGTGTAGTAGATAGTATAATATTTGTTAGTCCCCGTTCAGATAAATTCTTGTCTGTGTGTTCGTTCTGTATCTCGACATGCCATGGTCTATTTCATTGAAACTTAACACACAAATCATACATACATGTATGCACATTCAATTCAAGATCGTCGAATGGCCGTTTTTTTAGTTCCTTTTAGATATACATGATGATATGTAATGACTTGATTTATTGAAAAAACTAATCACAAGCAATTAATCATTTCTCAAACATATTTAATTTTCTTTTAAACATTTTTACCAAGTGCAATGACAAATGTTTTTCTTTTTGTATGTCTTATTGTTGTGCACATAAATGTTGAAATGTTGAAAAAATTTGACAGGGACTATGTAATTTTGTAATTTTATGTTAATTATTAAATAGTCATGAATAATGTCAACAGGATTGATATGCCAAAAAAGATTGTAAAAAGAAAACTATATTTAAAAAAACAATTGTTGACTATTTGTGGACACACATTAATCCCCTCTAGCTACAGTCTTACAATGAAACAAAAAATACTACAGAATGAAACCTAATCTTTATACTTTCTATTTTCACTCAAGCAGCTATGCACTGCACAGCCTGAAAGTCTGAACACAGTGGCCAATTTGCATACGACTGAATGTCTCCGTTGATTTCTTTCATTTCCTCAAATCTACAGACAATTAATAATCAAATTGCCATTCATCAAAACATGAAAACTGCTTATGAAGTTTAAAAATAAATGTGTTTGTCATTTTATGATATGATTTTATCAAGTTTTACTCTTGTCATAGCTTTCATTATTGTAAATCGTAACCACAATATGTTTTTTTTTATTGTAATATTGTCAAATCTAGAATCTCCACAAATACTACTAAATTACCGGTAAGTTCATTTAGAAATTTAGAAAAAAAGCAACAACATTATGAAACAGTTGAAATAAAACAGGCAGGTGCATATCTCGCAACCCCTCAATGAACTAAGCAAGTTTATAAATATTAATGATATCATAGCTTATTCCTGCGCCGCAGGAAAGTACATTTCGTACACGTCTCGGATTGAAAATTGGTAACCATGGCAACAATACAAATAATTCATGGGTTTTTTTTGTTACTATTATTAATTTCTATCAATTTGGGATTATTTTACATCCATCCAATTTTGTTTATTTTTGAATCATATTTTAAGTCAGTGAATATGGTATACTGATTATTTTGTAGAGCAAGAGCAGACTGAAAAATGCTTGTTTTTATACTCAGCAAAAAGATTTTTTTTTTTGCAAAATGCTTAAACTATAATTTTCAATCATTGTCTGGGATATCTTTGTTGTCTGCATGAAATCATATATCAGTATCTTACAACAGTTCCTCAATCAAAGGGAAATTTGAGCCAAATGTCATTGAAAATTCCCGAAATCTGCTTCAAGCAAGTTACTTTTTTTGGGCCTGGCCTAATCTTACAATATATAACTAACATTTATTTAATAAGTGTCAAATTTTGTTTTCACTCAAAATAAGGTAAATTTGATAAAATTTTTCTATAATTTTCACTGCATTAAATATTTATTTTGAACCAAACAGACATAAACGTGACATTGCTTCTAGTTTTTGATAAAAAAAATTGAACATTTTATGAAGAAAATTGCTGACAATAAATGGAACTATTTTGCCTGAAGTTGACTTTGACACTTAAAGAATAAAATCTTAACGAAATCAAACATTGTAAATAGGAAAATACAAATAATTGCGTGTTGTATCTAAAATGTGACTTCATGCTAATATTTCAACTGTATATTATATTAGCAATCCAGTGTAGTCAATACAATAGCATTGCATCTTGCGTGTCTGTGTTTGTATGACCTGGCTTGAATAGTTGGTCTTCTTGAGTTTCTATATCAATAACAACCCCTGATAAACACCTTAAAGAACCTAACAATATGGTTTGGTTCTTGTCACAACTTGTTTGTGTATATGTATCTGGATATTTTCAATTGTTTTGTTTCTATTTTCAACACCAGACTGGCAGGTGGAAATGCTTCTAAGTGCCGTACACTGACCAATATACTGTGTTAACGTTGTGGAGTAATGAGGCATGGTGTTAACCAACAATCATTCAACTTGCTTATAGCTAGAGTTTAATTCATTACAGTGAAACCATTTTTCATGTGTAGTCATAGAATTAAATTGAAGTGGTACTGTTAGATTTCATGTGAAACAGACGACAGACATTGTATACATCGCATGTGACCAATACTGAACACAACATGACTGTATAAAGTAAAAAATGTGATGGCAACAAGCACTTATTATTGAAATGAAATTCATATTTTGAGTCATTTTTGTGCATATTAATTACCCAATTTGCATATTAATTAGAAAATTTTAAGGTTTTTCACTTGTTTTTGAGCAACCACTCAACACACTTTATTGAAGCATGTTACATAGATGCGCTGGGATAATGTACAGACCTGATTAGATTTTGGTTGGAATTTTTGCATATTAATTACTAAATCTGCAAATTTTAAGGTTTTTCACTTGTTTTTGAGCAACCACTCAACACTCTTTATTGAAGCTTGGTACATAGATGCACTGGGATAATGTACAGACCTGATTAGATTTTGATTGGAATTTGTGCATATTAATTACCCAATTTGCATATACAAAATGAATATTATCAAATCTTAAGGTTTTTCACTTGTTTTTGAGCAACCACTAAACATACTTTATTGAAGCTTGGTACATAGATGCGCTGGGATAATGTACAGACCTGATTAGATTTTGATTGGAATTTGTGCATATTAATTACCCAATTTGCATATACAAAATGTATATTATCAAATCTTAAGGTTTTTCACTTGTTTTTGAGCAACCACTAAACATACTTTATTGAAGCTTGGTACATAGATGCGCTGGGATAATGTACAGACCTGATTACATTTTGGTTGCAATATGTGCCTATCATTTTAAGCAAATAGAAAGTAGCTAATTTAATTTTGATGATTTACCATTTCAGGCATATTCAGTGGGTTTCAAATTCATGGTTTTATCATTTAGATAATGTGTTCTATGCTAAATTTTACATATTCACTGGGTTTTAATTTAGCTCATTTTCCAGTCAGCGAAATAAGCAAAATTAAAACCCAGTGAATAATTAACCTCTTTACAGTAATGCATGGTATGCGTGTATATACATGAATAAACTGAATAGTGAGAACAAACTTAAAAAGTCAAGTACAAATAAAGATATTTTCTTATACTGTTTGTTAGGTCAATTAATAAATTATTAAAAACATTGTTGTGTATCTCTAGCAAACTACCGTACCATTAGTTTTTTAGGATTTATGTCAATAAAAAATGAACATTTTAGGATTCATATTTATTTACAAAGCAACACCAAAAAGCAAATTTATAAAAAAAAATTCACCATAGTAACAAATAAAAAGTATAATAATAATATTTATATCATTGCCTCAGGCCGTGGGAAAAGCATAATAGAAAGCAGTAACACACATTTATGATTTGTAATGAATATTCATGAAGTAACTTGTTTGAGGGATTGATGACGTAAAACAATTAGATATATATGACAATGGGAAAGGTATAAAGACGATTTGTACTCCTTAATTTGGTTGCTAACCAGTTGTCATGTTAACGATAGCATATACAATGTAATATGTATAAGATTAGAAATTAGTCTTGAATTTATTGTGGGTCTTCCATTGAGGGATGATGATGTATTTTTGATATACCAGTGGCACCTCAAAGACCATTATAACCCTCTTGTCAGTATGTCACGTCGATTACTACCATATGTGAGTGTATTTTATGCTGTAATGCATTTTTTGTCATTGTTCCAGTTAAAAAATCCTCATTCAGATCTGTGGAGATTCCCTCATTCATCATGCTTGTATTCAAATCAGTTGGAATATATCTGTAAACCAAATGTGTGAATTTCCAAACTGTTTCATGTGGTGGGTGGGTGGGTGTCGCACCTGTTGCTTATTTTGTTTTTGTTCAGTGAGCCATGTTATAAAAAAGATGTGTGTCTTCCCGTTTCACAGCAAGCAGTCAAACCCAAAGTATATATAGCTAACCAATACATGTTGACTACATGAGTGTCTTATTTTCTGATTTATTAGATAAAGCCGGTGCAACATAGTCTTTACAAAGATAAGGTGGCAGCACGATGGAGGGAATGGATTGCTCAGCCATGTGCTATTCAGTGAGTACACATTATATGACCACCTGTTTTCCCCTCTTAGCATCATATGCATTTTGGATAGAGCTCAATAGGTGATTGTCGCGAGATACATGAAAGACGCGCGTCAAACGTCTGCCGCAAAAATCGAACGATTTGATTTTGAACTTGAATTTCTTTATTTCGTAGCTCACATCGACCGGCCGATCTTCGACAGTGGAATATTGCTTTCGAATACCCTTACTTAATCAAAATTGCCTATCATCAAATGTGGACAGCACATTATTAAGCATGGAAATGTCTCCCAAAATACTTTTACGTTTGTCAAATTCCACGCGATGTTTGACGCCACTACAACGTTATGACCTTTGTTTGTCCTGTTTTTACGTTCGATTTCACGCATAACGTGTGATTCTCGCAGTGAACGAAAAATGGTCTATTATAACATGTATTGTTGTGAAAATTAGCCTCGGCAGAATCCTATTTTTCTGGGGAGAATACTAATTACAGCTTTCTGAGGTTATAACATTTGAAGATACCCCTCATTCTACACTAGTTAGCATTTTGGCTTCACATTAGGGAGACTTGTTTTAATCCCTCCTAATTACTGCTAACACTGGCGTATAGATACCGACCACCATCTGATTGAATGAAAATAATATTTATGCGTTCATGTTTGTGTCTACCAACTCACTGAATGTCTGCTTTGTTCATTCAGCGTTTACCGAAATGGAGATTTTCTGAACCATCCTGTGAAAATGTTGCTTCCTCAGAAAGCTCTACACAATTGGGATATGGTGCTAGATATGGTCACAGATCGAGTCAATCTTACAACAGGAGCAGTTAGGAGGTGAGCAACCAACCGAGACTTGGATCTTTTACCTGGATGTGTAAATCATTTTGAATCGCAACCACGTTTATTCTATTAGTATTACATTTACTTACATAAATGACAGAGATGTGTCTATAGTATAATAATGGTATAAGTGTGCCTTTATTGGAGAGTTGCTTATTATAGAACAAATACAATATTGGTAATTGTTGATTGTATGTGTCCTATATTTTGTACAGTTTCCTTCTGCTCTTTTCTTCTTTGTCTAGTGCAGTATTTTGAAATGTGTTTAAAGTGTACACCATTATGACGATGACAAAAAACACTTACTTATCCATATTTTGTTGTTGTCGACATTATAGGTTGTATAGTATAGATGGCCGTCAGATAGTTGATCTTGCGGATATTAAAAATGGTGAAACCTTTGTTGCTGTTGGCCCCGGGAAATTTAAACGAGTGCCTTATGGTCAGGGCTATCAGTCACCAGTAAACTCGCCCAGAAGTGTTCGGTAAGTTAAAGAAAACTAATTTTAAATTTCAAGTCTTGTGTTGTAAATGGCAGATTATCATACTGTTAACACGATAAAGACTTTTCGTTTTCAACATTGTCAAATTCTTTCGTTTTTATGCAGAAAAATACAGTATTTTTATTGGGTAAAATCGTATTTATTAAAGTTATTGTTCATACATGAGTTGTTGAACACACTACATTGTTTGTAATTTCATCCAGCTTCTTTCAGTCATAAATCAAGACAAATAAAAGGCAAAAATATAGAGAATATCTTTTTTCAGTAATATTCTTGGATAATCAGTAATTATGAAAATTATTTATCGGTGCATAGGGAATACATTTTGTTATATATTATTACTAATATGAATTTATGAGTTATCTTGTCAAAAGAATTTCACAATGTCGAAAACTGAATGTCTTTATTGTAGTGTTTGTTCCATTTCCATGCCATGCTTACAATCTCTTATCTTATTCTTTCCAGGACCTTACCACCTATAAATAGACCAAGACAACCTGCACATCCAAGGACACAAACGCAACCAGCAAGAACTCAACCACTTTCGAATAGGGTGAGTCGAATTAATTCAAATTTAATTTGTATATTAAAATAACTTTTGAATTAGTAATTAGTTTCCTTTTTTAATGAAGAACATGTCCTTGAACATAATTTGGGCAGACATCCTTAAATGACTTGCTCAAACATCATGCACTCATCGAATCTCAAACTTAAATTCACAGCAGTATTCTAAGAAACAAAAAGATCACAACTCACCGAAAGGAGGATATAATAATCATAAGAAGAAGAGAACGTCAAAGAAGGCTGAAGAAACTGAAGGCGTCTTCCATTCAAAACCAACCATCGTGAAGCATAGCAAAGAAAGGGATGGAGATCAAATTAAATATGAAGATGGTAAGTATTGAGTTTTGATAAAGTTCTTGATAGAATGACTAGTCGTTTGCAGCTAATTTTCTCAACTTTTAAAGCATCACTGTCACATAAGTTACACAACATTTTGATTGATGAGTGCAGCGTGGCAACTGTGGTAAATGTCCTTGATGGTTACCAAGGTTACCAAAGTTTTTTGCTGCTTCATCAGTGTACATAAATATATTTTTTTCAAATCTTGAGCCCCATATTTTAATTAAGTAGTTGGTGTGTTTTCTATAATTTCTTCATTAATTTTGGACCAAATGGACAGAATTTTGGGCCAAATGTATATAATTTTGGGTCTAATGGATAGAATTTTGGGCCAAATGAATAGAATTTTAACATTCAAAAGGGTAAAATGCTACAGTTGTCACACCACACCTTGTTCAATATGGGCCCCATGTGATGTAAACAAAATATGCAAAACATGAAAATAGCTGGAAGTAAATTCTCTACCTGAAATTGTCAATATTATTTATTTGTGTACTTGATAGTAACATTTTTTTTTTTCCAGATCCAAACAGTGTTTTTAAAGCGAAAAACGAGAGAGAAGAAACACGGGGTGCTTCAGAGGTAAAAGAAGATAAGAACACAGCTGTCGAACTCCCGATTGATCAAGTAACAGCGGAGGAAGTACTGGAGGAAGACATCAAACCTGAAGGCGATGAACTAGAATTACCTAGCAACGAAGCCAAGGAAGCTGAGGATCAAGTGAGTTGAAATAATCTACCAATGATGTTACCATGGTGATGAACTTCGGGTAGGTAGATAAAGCTGCCGTCAGAATTAGCATGATGTATGTAATCTTTTTTCCAAAGTTATATAACCTGAGCTAATCCCCGGAGTCGTAACAGATGACGTAACCTATGCTATGCTTCAAATTACCCATGAATCAAAGCATAAGCTTCTGTTTTCTGTGTCGGTTCTTATCTAATCGAGTGAATTCACTCTGTTCATTGATTTGGCATTAATTAATTTGTTTTTAATTAATGCATGATCTTATTTACATAGTTTGGTTCAAATTAATTTTTATTGTGCATGTTTTTTATCTCGTTGTTTTATTAGTCATGCTTTACTGATAGTGTTGCTTTATCTGCCTTTCTGTGCATGGCTGATTATTTTTAATAATTAATGTTATAATCACATGGTTCTTTACCATCTCTCCCCAATTGTATAAACTGTTGGTTAAGGGTGGACCAATAGAAACTCAGGAGAGGAGTGATGGCAGAATGGAAAAAAAAATAATTTGCACTGGAACAGATGAAAAAACAATTCTACACACTTAAATCTTATAAGGAAAGTATTTCACTTAGTGGGAAAAAAATTATAGCAAATTCATCATTAAAAAAAAAAATTGAAACTCTTGAGTTTCTAATAGTCCAACCCTGATGTGTTTTCATTGTGGTCTGTGGAAGCCGCTGCTAAAATTGCATAAATAGGGAAAAAAGGTGTTAGTGGTAAGGCAGTGACATAACTCATGCTTAAAACTGGCTTAAAGTCAGCACTGTTAGCATATAATAATATATTATTAAGGGAAAAACTCAGCATACATAACTGTAGATCGTGAACTATCACTACTTAATTAGATTAATTAAGTGATTAAACATTCTGTTGCTTTTCAAAGCACTGTATATGTTGGTTTAACTTGTTAAATCACTATAGCCATCATGCCATGTATGATATGGGTCTCGTACAATGTCATTTTTATTTTTTGGGGGGAGGGGGGTGGAGTAGCTGATATCATTTGCTAAACTCTGATATTATGAAAACATACGAAAGAAAAATTCGTTCATCTCAGATTTTTCTTCTTCAACCTATTTATTAAATAATGAGAACAAACACTATTGATCTAGACCGTAGACGTACACACACAAATAACTTCTTTTCCGAGATTATAAAAGCATAGCTTATTATTCAATCGTGGTTCAATGTATATACAAAAAATGCTGTTACTTTTGTCTGCTATGAAATCTATGTAAACTTAAAGTTTGTTTCATTGTGAGCAAATGTTTCATGACATCTGATCAATTCCATACACAGCTGAGATCTGCCATGTTTGTTTTTTTTGACGCAAGTTGACCTGCCAAGGTGTCCCTTAACCTGATAGGTCAAGAATGCCTTTAACCACTCAGAATACCTTGCAGCTCTACTGTCAGTTTCTGACATCTTCCAAATATTAGCATTATCAAAGTTGCATGTCATATTGTGCAAATATCATATTTGTAGCGCCCTCATGCAGCCCATTGGAGAATTTGAGGGAACTTAGGTCAATAGAGCATGTAAGATATTTAAAGATTTTCAACAGCTTTTATGATATAACGGATGAAATGGCGTTAACTCAGTCGTATTCATAATTTGTTTTTTCGGGGGGGGCATGAAACATTACAAGTGATTGTGTTTTGACAAAAATTTTGCTTTTACGAGAATAAATGATGCACCACTTAGTCATCTAATTAGTGATTTTTTTACTATGAGAAAAATCAGCAAGTCAAAACTTTTGTATTCTGAAAAAATATTTAATTATGATGGAAAGTTTTTACAGTAACCTTTTACTTTTAACTTTTTCGACTTCTTCTTGAAAACTACAAGCCTGAATGCTTTGATACTTGGTGTATATGTACCTTGGGTAGACCTCTCTTAGATTTGTTCATTTCATGATGATATCTTTAATTCTCTAATTTTGGTGAATATTTTTGTCATTTTTGGTAAAAGGTGATATTTTCGACTTCTTGTTAAAAACCACAAGTCCAATTGCTTTGATATCACATACATAGGTACTACATGTGGACCTCTCTCAGATTTGTTCATTTTGTAATGATATCTTTAATTCTCTAATTTTGGTGAATATTTTTGTAAGTTTTGGTAAAATATGATATTTTCGACTTCTTTTTAAAAACCGCAAGTCCAATTGCTTTGATATTACATTTATAGGTACTACATGTGGACCTCTTTCAGATTTATTCATTTAGTAATGATATTTTTAATTCTCTAATTTTGGTGAATATTTTTGTAATTTTTGCTTTGAAA